GCTGGGTCTGTGCCCTGAAGGGGAGCTCATTCCAGCCCAGCTTCCCATTGATGCCGTGTGTGTGTTGGGCTTCTGCAGGAGGGGAGTAGGTTCTAAAGAAAGGATTCAAAAATTCACTTAGTTTTCTTGTAGGAGTTTATCATCCCTGGTGTACTGGGCAGACGAGGAGACCATATTTCCTCAGGGTGAGGTCTCCTTAATATGTGTCGTTGTGTTACAGGGCGGGGGTGTGTTGATTCTGAGCCACAAACATATTTATAACATTCAGGATTGACTTTTTTATTTTTATTTTTTTAGAGACAAGGTTTCACCATGGTCTGGATCTCTTGACCTCGTGATCCTCCCACCTTGGACTCCGAAAGTGCCGGTATTACAAGCGTGAGCCACCGCGCTCGGCCTCAGGATTGACTTCTAAAGACTCTGGATACATGAAGAAGAAACCCGGAAGAGGAAGAGGAAAGCAGAGGAGTCAGGGATGGCTCATCCTCAGGTGAGATGATCTTCTCGGTGGATTGTTCTGTCTCCTTCCTGCTTGCAGTTGGGAATCTTCTCTGAGTCTGAAGCGTCCTGCCTGACACGTTTGCTGGCACTCACCCATGCCTTCCCTCAGTCCCTCATCTCGCTATATTACACCCCCCGTGATCCAGTGACATGAGCTTGGGAAGAGGCTGCACTGGGCATGGTCCTGGGAAGGGCTGACCCCAGACGTAGATGGAGACGGGGTGTGGCCCTGTGGTGTCAGGGCTGTTGGGCAGCAGGGATTGTTCAGGTGCCACATCGGGATGCACCGTCAGTTCTCTGTAGACCAGGAGTGGAGCAGCTGCCCATGGAAGTCACATATTAATGTGCACAAAGGACGTGGTAAATTCTAGGAAAGGAAACCAATAAGGAGAAGTCTTTTCTGCCTGATTTTATGCTACATGTTTAGGTAATAGAGTGAGTTACTGTGTTTATCATTCCAGAAATCTTACTAATTAGAGTGGAGCGCTCATACACAGACATGAATGATGTAAGGCGTTTTATTCCATTAGTTTAAGTATGTGAAACCAACCTAAATAATAGCAGGAGAGGCCGGGCGCGGTGGCTCAAGCCTGTAATCCCAGCACTTTGGGAGGCCAAGGCGGGTGGATCACGAGGTCAAGAGATCGAGACCATCCCGGTCAACATGGTGAAACCCCGTCTCTACTAAAAGTACAAAAAATTAGCTGGGCACGGTGGCGCGTGCCTGTAATCCCAGCTACTCAGGAGGCTGAGGCAGGAGAATTACCAGAACCCAGGAGGCGGAGGTTGTGGTGAGCCAAGATTGGGCCATTGCACTCCAGCCTGCGTAACAAGAGTGAAACTCCGTCTCAAAAAAAAAAAAAAAATAATAATAATAATAATAATAGCAGGAGATTCATTAAACCTTTTTTTTTTTTGAGATGAGGTTTCACCATCTTAGCCAGGATGGTCTTGAACTCCTGACCTCGTAATCCACCCGCCTCCGCCTCCCAAAGTGCTGGGATTACAGGTGTGAGCCACCATGCCCAGCCTCATTAAACCATTCTTAGCACAAAAAGCTGATGGAGACTGTGGTGTTATGGTGGAGAGGTTTTGAAACGTGTTTTCCGTAAAATTGGTTATATTTGTTTTCAAACATGGTAGCAGTATTTCATTTTTATTATAAAAAATTGAGCCTTTTTTTTCCTCCTCACCTGTTTGGGTTTATTGAGGGCATTAAGGGTTACAATGGAGCCCTGGTCATCTGGGGACGAGGCCTGGCATTTGCTGGCCAGTGAGTGGCCCAGTAAGCAGCCAAGGATGGGGCCTCCACCACCCTGTTTACTTGGAAGTGTGGCTCTCGGCTTCACCCTGCCCCAAGCCTTTAGGCCCAAACATGGCCATGTAGCAGCGGTGGTTGTAGTAGGGTTTGCTCTAGTGCTCTGCACGTTTCCCGGAGGTCAGCGTCTTCCCACATTTCTCGCATTTCAGGCAGAGCCGATGCCAGTACTTGACCAGAGAGGTCACCCTCTCAGCGAAGTACACCTCCTTGTCCACACTTGGAGCACGTAGGCATGGTGGCTTCGGGTCTGGTGCGCGCGTTAATGGCCAGGGAGGGAAGGGCTGCAAGCGTGAGACTCAGAGCCATATTCTCATTCCACCTATTATTATTATTATTATTATTTTTTTTTTTTTTGAGACAGAGTCTCGCTCTGTCTCCAAGGCTGGAGTGCAGTGGCGCGATCTCAGCTCACTGCAATTTCTGCCTCTTGGGTTCAAGAGATTCTCCTGCCTCAGCCTCCTGAGTAGCTGGGATTATAAGCGTGTACCACGATGCCCTGCTAATTTTTTTTTTTTTTTTTTGAGACGGAGTTTCACTCTTGTTATCCAGGCTGGAGTGCAATGGCGCGATCTCGGCTCACCGCAACCTCCGCCTCCTGGGTTCAGGCAATTCTCCTGCCTCAGCCTCCTGAGTAGCTGAGATTACAGGCACACACCACCATGCCCAGCTGATTTTTTGTATTTTTAGTAGAGACGGGGTTTCACCGTGTTGACCAGGATGGTCTTGATCTCTTGACCTTGTGATCCACCGCCTCGGCCTCCCAAAGTGCTGGGATTACAGGCTTGAGCCACTGCGCCCGGCCATGCCTGGCTAATTCTATCTTTATTTTTATTTTGAGATGAAGACTGTGTTGTCCAGGCTGAATTGGAATTGTGCAGTCTTGGGTCACTGCAACCGCTATGTCCCAGGGCAGTTGCCATGCCTCGGCCTCCTGAATAGCTGGGATTACATGCATGTGTCACCGCACTTGGCAGAATTTTAGTTTCTGATCTTTCGCTGTAAACATTGTTGCCTCTGAAGGCATCACTCATATTCTGTCTCATCTAAATACTGAATATCACTTGGTGTGTAAAAGTTTCTTTTTTTTTTTTTTTTTTGAGACGGAGTTTCGCTCTTGTTACCCAGGCTGGAGTGCAATGGCCCGATCTCGGCTCACCGCAACCTCCTCCTCCTGGGTTCAGGCAATTCTCCTGCCTCAGCCTCCTGAGTAGCTGGGATTACAGGCACGCACCACGATGCCCAGCTAATTTTTTGTATTTTTAGTAGAGACGGGGTTTCACCATGTTGACCAGGATGGTCTCGATCTCTCGACCTCGTTATCCACCCGCCTCGGCCTCCCCAAGTGCTGGGATTACAGGCTTGAGCCACCGTGCCCGGCTGGTGTGTAAAAGTTTCTAACATTTCTGTTTTATTTTATTATTATTTTTTTTTTGAGATGGAGTTTCGCTCTTGTTACCCAGGCTGGAGTGCAATGGCGCGATCTCGGCTCACCGCAACCTCCGCCTCCTGGGCTCAGGCAATTCTCCTTCCTCAGCCTCCTAAGTAGCTGGGATTACAGGCACACGCCACCATGCCCAGCTAATTTTTTGCACCTTTAGTCGAGACGGGGTTTCACCATGTTGACCAGGATGGTCTCGATCTCTCGACCTCGTGATCCACCCGCCTCGGCCTCCCAAAGTGCTGGGATTACAGGCTTGAGCCAACGCGCCCGGCCTTTTTTTTTTGAGACGGAGTTTCGCTCTTGTTACCCAGGCTAGAGTGCAATGGCGCAATCTCAGATCACCACAACCTCCACCTCCTGGGCTCAGGCAATTCTCCTGCCTCAGCCTCCGGAGTAGCTGGGATTATAGGCACGCGCCACCATGCCCAGCTAATTTTTTGTATTTTTTTTTTTTTTTTTTTTTTTGAGACGGAGTTTCGCTCTTGTTACCCAGGCTGGAGTGCAATGGCACGATCTCGGCTCACCGCAACCTCCGCCTCCTGGGTTCAGGCAATTCTCCTGCCTCAGCCTCCTGAGTAGCTGGGATTATAGGCACGCGCCACCATGCCCAGCTAATTTTTTGTATTTTTAGTAGAGACGGGGTTTCACCATGTTGACCAGGTTGGTCTCGATCTCTCGACCTTGTGATCCACCCGCCTCGGCCTCCCAAAGTGCTGGGATTACAGGCTTGAGCCACCGCGCCCGGCCAATTTTTTGTATTTTTAGAAGAGACGGGCTTTCACCATGTTGACCAGGACGGTCTTGATCTCTTGACCTCGTGATCCACTGGCTTCGGCCTCCCAAAGTGCTGAGATTACAGGCTTGAGCCACCGCGCCCAGCCTAACATTTCTATAATGGGAACGCTGCATTGATTTTTTGTTTCTTTATTTCTTGTATGATCCACAACCATAAGAAATGTAACCGAGAAAGTATGATGACCTCTTCAAAAAGTATAATAAACACAACCTGGAAGACATAATGTGGTAAAAAATCCCTTTCTCGATTTGACAGAACATTCCCTATAATTAAATCCCTGCTTTCACCTCTCTCCTCTTCTCATTCTCTGTAAAGATCAGAACTCCTCCCATTACTATGTGGTTAAAATGTGGTTTAAGGCCGGGCGCGGTGGCTCAAGCCTGTAATCCCAGCACTTTGGGAGGCCGAGGCAGGTGGATCACAAGGTCGAGAGATCGAGACCAACCTGGTCAACATGGTGAAACCCCGTCTCTACTAAAAATACAAAAAAAAATTAGCTGGGCATGGTGGCGCGTGCCTATAATCCCAGCTACTCAGGAGGCTGAGGCAGGAGAATTGCCTGAACCCAGGAGGCGGAGGTTGCGGTGAGCCGAGATTGCGCCATTGCACTCCAGCATGGGTAACAAGAGCGAAACTCCGTCTCAAAAAAAAAAAAACAAAAAAACGTGGTTTCATAGGGCTGGGCGCGTTGGCTCACACCTGTAATCCCAGCACTTTGGGAGGCTGAGGTGGGTGGATCACGAGGTCAAGAGATCGAGACCATCCTGGTCAACATGGTGAAAGCCCGTCTCTACTAAAAATACAAAAAATTAGCTGGGCATGGTGGTGCGTGAGGCGGAGGTGGTGCTGAGCCGAGATCGCACCATTGCACTCCAGCCTGGGCAACAAGAGTGAAACTCTGTCTCAAAAAAAAAAAAAAAAAAAATGTGGTTTCCTTTCAGGGTCTATTGACATTCAGGGACGTGGCTATAGAATTCTCTCAGGAGGAGTGGAAATGCCTGGACCCTGCTCAGAAGACTTTACACAGGGACGTGATGCTGGAGAACTACAGGAATCTGCTCTCCCTGGGTGAGTCCAACTTCCCCCGGAAGCGGGGATGTGCCCTTGCGTATCTTTGTATTTTCTCTTGTTGCCTCTTGGGAGCTGCATCCTTGCTTGACTAAAATGGAAGCCGTATTGATTTTGAAATAAAAAGCTTCATGACGCAGCATCTGGAATTTAACTGTCCCCGCCCTTTTCTTTTCCTTTTATTTTTTTGAGACGGAGTCTCGTTCTGTTGCCCAGGCAGAAGTGCAGTGGCATGATCTCGGCCCACCACAACATCCGCCTCCAGGGTTCAAGTGATTTTTTTTCCCCAGCCTCCCAAGTAGCTGTGACTACATGTGCCTGCCACGATGCCTGGCTGTCGGGGACCGTCCGGGACGGGTAGGCACGTCTGCCTGGGGTCTCTCGACCTGCAAGAGGGTCCCAATACCTGGAAGAGGGAGTGTGCCTGGAAAAATAATAAAGACAGAGAGAGAGAAAGCGAGGCGTCTGGAGGACTGATAGGCTGTGCCTAAACAGCAAAGTTTCTTTTTCTTTTTTTTTTTTTTGAGACGGAGTTTCACTCTTGTTACCCAGGCTGGAGTGCAATGGTGCAATCTCGGCTCGCCGCAACCTCCGCCTCCTGGGTTCAGGCAATTCTCCTGCCTCAGCCTCCTGAGTAGCTGGGATTACAGGCACGCGCCACCATGCCCAGCTAATTTTTTGTATTTTTAGTAGAGACGGGGTTTCACCATGTTGACCAGGATGGTCTCGATCTCTTTACCTCGTAATCCACCCGCCTCGGCCTCCCAAAGTGCTGGGATTACAGGCTTGAGCCACCGCACCGGGCCGCAAATTTTATTTTTCAAAGGCCAGGAATAAATACACTTTCTTGGCTCTGGTTTACCTCATAGCAAGAGGAAATGCAAATGTATGCCTCACATGGCCTATACAATAGAGAAGTCAGATATGCAATCAGTGGTTGTAAAAAGTAACAGAATTTCCTAGACCATCCTGGTCAACATGGTGAAACCCCGTCTCTACTAAAAATACAAAAAAAATTAGCTGGGCATGGTGGCGCGTGCCTGTAATCCCAGCTACTCAGGAGGCTGAGGCAGGAGAATAGCCTGAACCCAGGAGGTGGAGGTTGCGGTGAGCCAAGATCCCGCCATTGCACTCCAGCCTGGGTAACAAGAGTGAAACTCTGTCTCAAAAAAAAAAAAAAAAAAAAAGTAACAGAATTTCCTGTAATCACAAAGCTTGTTTACATCCAGACATTATTCCTCCTGGCTGCAGGTATCTCTGGTTTGATCTTGTTTTAGAACTGAGATGTGAAAAGGTTTTCTGGTTTTGCTCATCAGAATATCTTTTATCAGATTCTCCTTTGTCTCCTCCTGACTCAACTTAACTCAACTTCCCCATTCAGGAGTCTCTGAGTCAGAAATCAAAGCCATCCCTTATGGTGGCATTTGCTTTGCAAATATTGACAGTTAAACCATTATCTAGGGTACAAGGCAGTCAGGTAAGTAAAGAAAAAGATTGAAGGCTTATTCTTAAAGAGTCATAAAAAAGTTAAAAGCAGGAATTGGTTGCCGGCAGGGGGTCACTCGGTTGCCAGCAGGGGGTCACTCGGTCTAGCAGCAACACATAGTTTTAGGCCCAAACGATATTGTGGTTGATGTTAGAAACTGATCATTCATCTTTCAGATCCTCTTTCCGGATAGCTCGACTGCCTCCAATAGGAAACTGTGTTTGGGATCAAACTCACCGTATAGTGAGACTCACGCCTTTTGGGGGTCTCACATGGGAATGTTCCCCACACCTGGCTAATTTTTTTTATTTTTAGTAGAGACGGGGTTTCACCATATTGCTCAGGCTGGTCTTGAACTCCTGACCTTGTGATCCTCCTGCTTCAGCTTCCCAAAGTGCTAGGATTAGAGGCGTGAGCCACCACACCCAGCCAGTCTTTTTTGTTTAGAAATCATGTGTTCTTTAGGATATCTCAGTGTACGTTCCAGAACTAAAGTAGACATAAAACCCTATGGCAGGCCACGCATGGTGACTCACACATGGACACCTCAATCCCAGCCCTTTGGGAGGCTGAGGGGTGTGGATCACATCAGGTCAGGATCTGAGACCACCCGCCTGGCCAACATGGCAAATCCCCATGTCTACTAAAAATACAAAAATTAGCTGGGCGTGGGCACACCTGTAGTTTCAGCTACTAGAAAGTGAGAGCATGGAGAATCACTTGAACCCGAGAGATGAAGGTTGCAGTGAGCCAGGAATGTGCCACTGCACTCCCCTCCGGGTGACAGAGTGAGATTCTGCCTCTAAAAACAAAAACAAAACCTTATGGCAGAGTTTAAAGATACCAAGTTAGTTCTGGCCAGGTGCAGTGTTGCATCCCTGTATCCCAGCACTTTGACAGGCCAAGGCAGGCAGATCACCTGTGGTCTGGAATTCGACACCGGCCTGACCACTCCGTCTCTGCTAAAAATATAAAAGTAGGCCGGGTGCCGCGGCTCAAGCCTGTAATCCCAGCACTTTGGAAGGCCGAGGCGGGTGGATCACGAGGTCAAGAGATCGAGACCATCCTGGTCAACATGGTGAAACCCCGTCTCTACTGAAAATACAAAAAATTAGCTGGGCGTGGTGGCGCGTGCCTGTAATCCCAGCTACTCAGGAGGCTGAGGCAGGAGAATTGCCTGAACCCAGGAGGCGGAGGTTGTGGTGAGCCGAGATCACGCCATTGCACTCCAGCCTGGGTAACAAGAGCAAAAACTCCGTCTAAAAAAAAAAAAAAAAAAAAAAATACAAAAGTAGCTAGGGGTGGTCGCTCATGCCTTTAATCCCAGCTACTCAGGAGGCTGAGGCAGGAGAATTGCTTGAAGCCAGGAAGCGAAGGTTGCAGTGAGTCAAGATAGCATCATTGCACTTTAGACTAAGAAACAAGAACAAAACTCTTCTCTAAAAAAATTTTAGGCCGGGTGCGGTGGCTCAAGCCTGTAATCCCAGCACTTTGGGAGGCCGAGGCGGGTGGATCACGAGGTCAAGAGATCAAGACCATCCTGGTCAACATGGTGAAACCCCGTCTCTACTAAAAAATACAAAAAATTAGCTGGGCATGGTGGCGCATGCCTGTAATCCCAGCTACTCAGGAGGCTGAGGCAGGAGAATTGCCTGAACCCAGGAGGCGGAGGTTTTGGTGAGCCGAGATTGCACCATTGCACTCCAGCCTGGGTAACGAGCGAAACTCCGTCTCAAAAAAAAAAAAAAGAAAAAAAAATTTAAAAGACAGGTATCTAGTTTCCTGTTTGCTACTTATATGTTTTTTCGATTCTGTAGTGCTTTGAAGGAAGCTCGATTTCCACATACTACAGTCCTCTTTATGTATTCAGAAGGAGGCAGTCAGTGGAGGAATTTGTGAAATATTTTCCTCGATCCATCTGTAATGTCTTCTTTCCTGCTGAAACATAGGGCTGGGACTCCAGAAAAGCTGCAGCACATCATATTTCTTTCTTTTTATAAGCAGGAGCCTCTTTCTGACCTGTTTATTCATGTTGGAGCCAGGGAAAGAGCCCTGGACTGTGGAGAGTCAAGTGAAAATATCCAGCTGAGTGGGAATGTATTACAGGTGTTAACACAGTTGTAGCTCAGAGCGGCACAGTGGAACCCACACCTTTAAATAGTGTGTGGGGAAACTCTGCAAGTGGGAGAATTCTGTGAGGAAAGAAAAGTTTAAATCTGGGGATCTCTGAATGGACCTCTTTCTTTGCTCCCACTTGTTTCTCTGCTCTTTATTGATTTAACGAGTTTTTTTATAAAAGCGCTAGTCCTGTTCCCTAGTAGTCAACACCCAAATTCTCTCAAAGGTCCCATCCGTAGGAACATCCTATTGGAGAATAAGAACTCTCAACATGGCTTTCGGCCAATACGAGCATTCAGACCAGGGAGCCTGCATTATGATTTTTATGTTTTTATTGCGCGTTCAGTTTTATGCAGTGTTTTCTCTGATCTCAGTTTATGAATTTTCCCGGTACACATTCTATTTTCTACCAAAAATACAAAACATTAGCTGGGTGTTGTGTCACGTGCCTGTAATTCGAGATCCTCAGGAGGCTGAGGCAGGAGAATCTTTTGAATCTGGGATGCGGATGTTACAGTGAGCCAAGATCATGCCATTGCATTCAGTCTGGGTGACGGTGCGAGGCACCATCTACGTAAAATAAAATTTAAAAAATTTTGACAAAAATGTTACAAAGCACCTCTTCTGCATGGATATAGGTAATTTTGTGACAGTTATTCAAGCTCACTGCAAGCTCTGCCTCTTGGCGTCAAGCAATTCTCTTGCCTCAACCTCCCAAGTAGCTGAAAGTACAGGTGTGGGCCACCACACCTGACTGATTTTTGTGATGTTTTCTCATCTTCTCAGTGCTATGATTATTTGACAATACAAAATTTACATTGATTTTGGTTATGCTTACATGATCTCGTGAATGATTTACCAATGTTGTTTATTGTGTGGTCCATTAGCATTTATCTGTATACAGTAAATATGCTTTAAATATGAAGAAATATGTTTTTCTCTTCCTGGAATATGACAGTGATTGTTTGTAAGCTGTTAAACACATTATAGTCATAGTGGAAATATACTCTTTAGGCTTACACATATTGGTGTCCTGTCAGTGTTTTGTCATGATATTGAAAATAGTCTTCCATAGAAATGGTTTCAAGTACATATAATCATCCTTTATTTATTAAAGAATCTTACTTCTGCTGTGTTCCTAAACTTTGAAGATCATGTCGTGGAAGTTTACAATAAGTATTGTTTTTTTTGTGTCGTATTTACATATTTCAGTATTATTTACCATCTGTACTGAATTGGAAACCTGTTGTTGTTTATGTTTTGTAGATATCTCTTCCAAATGCATGATGAAGGAGTTCTCATCGACGGAGGAAGGCCATACAGAAGTGTTCCACACAGGGACATTGCAAAGACATGAAAGTCATCACACTGGAGATTTTTGCTTCCAGAAAACTGAGAAAAACATTCATGACTTTGAGTTTCAGAGGCAAAAGGATGAAAGAAACAGTCCTGAAGTACCCATGACAAAAATCAAAAAGTTGACTGGTAGTAAAGACCAATATGATGACAGGCATTCTGGAACCAAGCCTGTTGAAGATCAGGTTGGATTAAGCTTTCATTCACATCTGTCTAACCTGCACGTATTTCATAATGAGGGGAACATTGATAATCAACTAGAGAAGTCGATAAATGACGTTTCCTTAATTTCAACTTCCCCAAGAATTTTTTGTAGGCCCAAAACCCATATTTCTAATTACTGTAGGAATAATTTGCTTCATTCATTACTGACAGAAAGAGAGGAGGTACACGTGAGAGAAAAATCTTTGCAATGTAATGAGAGTGGCAAAGCCTTTAATTGTAGCTCGCTCTTAAGGAAACATCAGATAATCCATTTAGGAGAGAAACAATATGAATGTGATGTGTGTGGCAAGGTCTTTAATCAGAAGAGATACATCGAACGCCATCGTAGATGTCACACTGGTGAGAAACCTTACAAGTGTAATGAATGTGGCAAGAGCTTCTGTCACATGTCGTATCTTGTATGCCATCGTAGACTTCATACTGGAGAGAAACCTTACAAATGTAATGAGTGTGGCAAGACATTCCATCAAAGTTCAGGCCTTCTATTTCATAAGAAAATTCACACTGGAGAGAAACCTTACAAATGTAATGAATGTGGCAAGGTTTTTAATCAAAAATCACACCTTACACGTCATCATAGACGTCATACTGGAGAGAAACCTTACAGATGTGAAGAATGTGACAAAGTTTACACTCGCAAATCATACCTTGAAGTACACAGGAGAAGTCATACTGTAGAGCAACCATAGAAATGTAACTTTTGTGACAAGGCTTTTGGGTGTGCTTCACATCTGGCAAGACATACTAGAATCCACACTGGAGAAAAACCTTACAAGTGTCATGAGTGTGGCCAAACCTTTAGTGGACAGTCAGCACTTATTCATCATCAAGCAATCCATGGTATAGGGAAACTTTTCTAATGTAATGATTGTCACCAAGTCTTCAGTAATGCTACAACCATTGCAAATCATTGGAAAATCCATAATGAAGACAGATCTTACAAGTGTAATTCGTGTAGCAAATTTTTCAATCTTTCATACCTTGTCATTCATCAGTGAACTTATACTGGATAGAAACCGTATAAATGTAATGATTGTGTCAAGGTCTTCAGTCAAGCATCATCTTTTTTTTTTTTTTTTTTTGAGACGGAGTTTCGCTCTTGTTACCCAGGCTGGAGTGCAATGGCGCGATCTCGGCTCACCGCAACCTCCACCTCCTGGGTTCAGGCAATTCTCCTGCCTCAGCCTCCTGAGTAGCTGGGATTACAGGCACGTGCCACCATGCCCAGCTAGTTTTTTGTATTTTTAGTAGAGACGAGGTTTCACCATGTTGACCAGGATGGTCTTGATCTCTCGACCTCGTGATCCACCCGCCTCGGCCTCCCAAGGTGCTGGGATTACGGGCTTGAGCCACCGCGCCTGGCCTTTTTTTTTTTTTTTTGAGATGGAGTTTCGCTCTTGTTACCCAGGCTGGAGTGCAATGGTGCAATCTTGGCTCACTGCAACCTCCGCCTCCTGGGTTCAGGCAATTCTCCTGCGTCGGCCTCCTGAGTAGCTGGGATTACGGGTATGCATCACCATGCCCAGCTAATTTTTTGTATTTTTAGTAGAGATGGGATTTCACTATGTTAACCAGGATGGTCTCGATCTCTTGACCTCGTGATCCACCCACATCGGCCTCCCAAAGTGCTGGGATTACAGCTGTGAGCCACTGCGCCCAGGCAGTCAAGCTTCATCTTACGCAAAACATAGGAGAATTCATAGAGGAGGAAAACCTCACTAGTGTGATAATTGTGGCAAAGCCTTTCTTTCACAATCACACTTCGTTAGACATCAGAGAATCCATAGTGGACAGAAATCCTACAAATGTAAGTGTGGCAAAGTCTTCAGTCTGGGGTAACTCTTGCAAAACATCGGAAAATTCATTCTTGAGATAATTGTTCCAAATGCAGTGAGTATAGCAACCCATCAAGCATTAATTGACATTAGAGTCAATTCAGTATCAACTTGAGTTTGAGTTGACTTAACATTGAGTTAAAGTTTTTTTTTTTTTTTTTTTTTTTGAGACGGAGTTTCGCTCGTTACCCAGGCTGGAGTGAAATGGCGTGATCTCGGCTCACCGCAACCTCTGCCTCCTGGGTTCAGGCAATTTTCCTGCCTCAGCCTCCTGAGTAGCTGGGATTCCAGGCACGTGCCACCATGCCCAGCTAATTTTTTGTATTTTTAGTAGAGACGGGGTTTCACCGTGTTGACCAGGATGGTCTTCATCTCTTGACCTCGTGATCCACCCGCCTCGGCCTCCCAAAGTGCTGGGATTACAGGCTTGAGCCACCTTGCCCGGCTGGTGTGTAAAAGTTTCTAACATTTCTTTTTTTTTTTTTTTTTTTTTTTTGAGGCAGAGTTTCGCTCTTGTTACCCAGGCTGGAGTGCAATGGCGCAATCTCAGCTCACCACAACCTCCGCCTCCTGGGCTCAGGCAATTCTCCTGCCTCAGCCTCCGGAGTAGCTGGGATTACAGGCACGCGCCACCATGCCCAGCTAATTTTTTGTATTTTTAATAGAGACGGGGTTTCACCATGTTGACGAGGATGGTCTCGATCTCTTGACCTCGTGATCCACCCGCCTCGGCCTCCCAAAGTGCTGAGATTACAGGCTTGAGCCACCGCGCCCAGCCTAACATTTCTATAATGGGAACGCTGCATTGATTTTTTGTTTGTTTATTTCTTGTATGATCCACAACCATAAGAAATGTAACCGAGAAAGTATGATGACCTCTTCAAAAAGTATAATAAACACCACCTGGAAGACATAATGTGGTAAAAAATCCCTTTCCCGATTTGTCAGAACATTCCCTACAATTAAATCCCTGTTTTCAGCCGGGCGCGGTGGCTCAAGCCTGTAATCACAGCACTTTGGGAGGCTGAGGCGGATGGATAACGAGGTCGAGAGATCGAGACCATCCTGGTCAACATGGTGAATCCCCGTCTCTACTAAAGATACAAAAAATTAGCTGGGCATGGTGGCACGAGCCTGTAATCCCAGCTACTCAGGAGGCTGAGGCAGGAGAATTGCCTGAGCCCAGGAGGCGGAGGTTGCGGTGAGCCGAGATCGCGCCATTGCATTCCAGCCTGGGTAAAAAGAGCGAACCTCCTTCTCAAAAAAAAAAAAAAAAAAAAAAAATCGCTGCTTTCACCTCTCTCCTCTTCTCATTCTCTGTAAAGATCAGAACTCCTCCCATTACTATGTGGTTAAAATGTGCTTTCAGGCAGGGCGCGGTGGCTCAAGCCTGTAATCCAAGCACTTTGGGAGGCCGAGGCAGGTGGATCACAAGGTCGAGAGATCGACACCAACCTGGTCAACATGGTGAAACCCCGTCTCTACTAAAAATACAAAAAAAATTAGCTGAGCATGGTGGCGCGTGCCTATAATCCCAGCTACTCAGGAGGCTGAGGCAGGAGAATTGCCTGAACCCAGGAGGTGGAGGTTGCGGTGAGCCGAGATCGCGCCATTGCACTCCAGCCTGGGTTACAAGAGCCAAACTCCGTCTCAAAAAAAAAACAAAAACGTGGTTTCATAGGGCTGGGCGCGGTGGCTCACACCTGTAATCCCAGCATTTTGGGAGGCTGAGGCGAGTGGATCACGAGGTCAAGAGATCGAGACCATCCTGGTCAACGTGGTGAAAGCCCATCTCTACTAAAAATAGAAAAAATTAGCTGGGCATGGTGGTGCGTGAGGCGGAGGTGGCGGTGAGCCGAGATCGCACCATTGCACTCCAGCCTGGTCAACAACAGTGAAACTCTGTCGCAAAAAAAAAAAAAAAATATGTGGTTTCCTTTCAGGGTCTATTGACATTCAGGGATGTGGCTATAGAATTCTCTCAGGAGGAGTGGAAATGCCTGGACCCTGCTCAGAAGACTTTACACAGGGACGTGATGTTGGAGAACTACAGGAATCTGCTCTCCCTGGGTGAGTCCACCTTCCCCCAGAAGCGGGGATGTGCCCTTGCGTATCTTTGTATTTTCTCTTGTTGCCTCTTGGGAGCTGCATCCTTGCTTGACTAAAATGGAAGCCGTATTGATTTTGAAATGAAAAGCTTCATGACGCAGCATCTGGAATTTAACTGTCCCCGCCCTTTTCTTTTCCTTTTATTTTTTTGAGACGGAGTCTCGTTCTGTTGCCAAGGCAGAAGTGCAGTGGCATGATCTCGGCCCACCACAACATCCGCCTCCAGGGTTCAAGTGATTTTTTTTTCCCCAGCCTCCCAAGTAGCTGTGACCACATGTGCCTGCCACGATTCCTGGCTGTCGGGGACCATCCGGGACGGGTAGGCACATCTGCCCGGGGTCTCTCGACCTGGAAGAGGGTCCCAATACCTGGAAGAGGGAGTGTGCCTGGAAAAATAATAAAGACAGAGAGAGAGAAAGCGAGGCGTCTGGAGGACTGATAGGCTGTGCCTAAACAGCAAATTTTCTTTTTCTTTTTTCTTTTTTTTTTTTTTTGAGACGGAGTTTCGCTCTTGTTACCCAGGCTGGAGTGCAATGGTGCGATCTCGGCTCGCCGCAACCTCCGCCTCCTGGGTTCAGGCAATTTTCCTGCCTCAGCCTCCTGAGTACCTGGCATTACAGGCACGTGCCACCATGCCTAGCTAATTTTTTGTATTTTTAGTAGAGACGGGGTTTCACCATGTTGACCGGGATGGTCTCGATCTCTCGACCTCGTGATCCACCCGCCTCGGCCTCCCAAAGTGCTGGGATTACAGGCTTGAGCCACCGCACCGGGCCGCAAATTTTATTTTTCAAAGGCCAGGAATAAATACACTTTCTTGGCTCTGGTTTACCTCATAGCAAGAGGAAATGCAAATGTATGCCTCACATGGCCTATACAATAGAGAAGTCAGATATGCAATCAGTGGTTTTAAAAAGTAACAGAATTTCTTAGACCATCCTGGTAACATGGTGAAACCCCGTCTCTACTAAAAATACAAAAAAAATTAGCTGGGCATGGTGGCGCGTGCCTGTAATCCCAGCTACTCAGGAGGCTGAGGCAGGAGAATTGCCTGAACCCAGGAGGTGGAGGTTGCGGTGAGCCGAGATCCCGCCATTGCACTCCAGCCTGGGTAACAAGAGTGAAACTCTGTCTCAAAAAAAAAAAAAAAAAAAAGTAACAGAATTTCCTGTAATCACAAAGCTTGTTTACATCCAAACATTATTCTTCCTGGCTGCAGGTATCTCTGGTTTGATCTTGTTTTAGAACTGAGATGTGAAAAGGTTTTCTGGTTTTGCTCATCAGAATATCTTTTATCAGATTCTCCTTTGTCTCCTCCTGACTCAACTTAACTCAACTTCCCCATTCAGGAGTCTCTGAGTCAGAAATCAAAGCCATCCCTTATGGTGGCATTTGCTTTGCAAATATTGACAGTTAAACCATTATCTAGGGTACAAGGCAGTCAGGTAAGTAAAGAAAAAGATTGAAGGCTTACTCTTAAAGAGTCATAAAAAAGTTAAAAGCAGGAATCCGTTGCCGGCAGGGAGTCACTCGGTCTAGCAGCAACACATAGTTTTAGGCCCAAACGATATTGTGGTTGATATTAGAAACTGATCATTCATCTTTCAGATCCTCTTTCCGGATAGCTCGACTGCCTCCAGTAGGAAACTGTGTTTGGGATGAAACTCACCATATAGTGAGACTCACGTCTTTTGGGGGTCTCACACGGGAATGTTCCCCACACCTGGCTAATTTTTTTTATTTTTAGTAGAGACGGGGTTTCACCATATTGCTCAGGCTGGTCTTGAACTCCTGACCTTGTGATCCTCCTGCTTCAGCTTCCCAAAGTGCTAGGATTAGAGGCGTGAGCCACCACACCCAGCCAGTCTTTTTTGTTTAGAAATCATGTGTTCTTTAGGATATCTCAGTGTACGTTCCAGAACTAAAGTAGACATAAAACCCTATGGCAGGCCACGCATGGTGACTCACACATGGACACCTCAATCCCAGCCCTTTGGGAGGCTGAGGGGTGTGGATCACATCAGGTCAGGATCTGAGACCACCCGCCTGGCCAACATGGCAAATCCCCATGTCTACTAAAAATACAAAAATTAGCTGGGCGTGGGCACACCTGTAGTTTCAGCTACTAGAAAGTGAGAGCATGGAGAATCACTTGAACCCGAGAGGTGAAGGTTGCAGTGAGCCAGGGATGTGCCACTGCACTCCCGTCCGGGTGACAGAGTGAGATTCTGCCTCTAAAAACAAAAACAAAACCTTATGGCAGAGTTTAAAGATACCAAGTTAGTTCTGGCCAGGTGCAGTGTTGCATCCCTGTATCCCAGCACTTTGACAGGCCAAGGCAGGCAGATCACCTGTGGTCTGGAATTCGACACCGGCCTGACCACTCCGTCTCTGCTAAAAATATAAAAGTAGGCCGGGTGCCGCGGCTCAAGCCTGTAATCCCAGCACTTTGGAAGGCCGAGGCGGGTGGATCACGAGGTCGAGAGATCGAGACCATCCTGGTCAACATGGTGAAACCCCGTCTCTACTGAAAACACAAAAAATTAGCTGGGCATGGTGGCGCGTGCCTGTAATCCCAGCTACTCAGGAGGCTGAGGCAGGAGAATTGCCTGAATCCAGGAGGCGGAGGTTGCGGTGAGCCGAAATCACGGCATTGCACTCCAGCCTGGGTAACAAGAGCAAAAACTCCGTCTAAAAAAAAAAAAAAAATACAAAAGTAGATAGGGGTGGTCGCTCATGCCTTTAATCCCAGCTACTCAGGAGGCTGAGGCAAGAGAATTGCTTGAAGCCAGGAAGCGAAGGTTGCAGTGAGTCAAGATAGCATCATTGCACTTTAGACTAAGAAACAAGAACAAAACTCTTCTCTAAAAAAATTTTAGGCCGGGTGCGGTGGCTCAAGCCTGTAATCCCAGCACTTTGGGAGGTCGAGGCGGGTGGATCACGAGGTCAAGAGATCAAGACCATCCTGGTCAACATGGTGAAACCCCGTCTGTACTAAAAAATACAAAAAATTAGCTGGGCATGGTGGCGCGTGCCTGTAATCCCAGCTACTCAGGAGGCTGAGGCAGGAGAATTGCCTGAACCCAGGAGGCGGAGGTTTTGGTGAGCCGAGATTGCACCATTGCACTCCAGCCTGGGTAACGAGCGAAACTCCGTCTCAAAAAAAAAAAAAAAGGAAAAAAAAATTTAAAAGACAGGTATCTAGTTTCCTGTTTGCTACTTATATGTTTTTTCGATTCTGTAGTGCTTTGAAGGAAGCTCGATTTCCACATACTACAGTCCTCTTTATGTATTCAGAAGGAGGCAGTCAGTGGAGGAATTTGTGAAATATTTTCCTCGATCCATCTGTAATGTCTTCTTTCCTGCTGAAACATAGGGCTGGGACTCCAGAAAAGCTGCAGCACATCATATTTCTTTCTTTTTATAAGCAGGAGCCTCTTTCTGACCTGTTTATTCATGTTGGAGCCAGGGAAAGAGCCCTGGACTGTGGAGAGTCAAGTGAAAATATCCAGCTGAGTGGGAATGTATTACAGGTGTTAACACAGTTGTAGCTCAGAGCGGCACAGTGGAACCCACACCTTTAAATAGTGTGTGGGGAAACTCTGCAAGTGGGAGAATTCTGTGAGGAAAGAAAAGTTTAAATCTGGGGATCTCTGAATGGACCTCTTTCTTTGCTCCCACTTGTTTCTCTGCTCTTTATTGATTTAACGAGTTTTTTTATACAAGCGCTAGTCCTGTTCCCTAGTAGTCAACACCCAAATTCTCTCAAAGGTCCCATCCGTAGGAACATCCTATTGGAGAATAAGAACTCTCAACATGGCTTTCGGCCAATACGAACATTCAGACCAGGGAGCCTGCATTATGATTTTTATGTTTTTATTGCGCGTTCAGTTTTATGCAGTGTTTTCTCTGATCTCAGTTTATGAATTTTTCCGGTACACATTCTATGTTTTATATTTTGTGCGTAGTAAACTAGATAAATAATGCAATACATATACATAGAATTGCTGTATTGCCTGGCTGTGACACACTGGAGATGTGACATCATAATTGCAAGCTCTGATGTTGTTAGGCAGTTTTGTTTTCTTTTTTTTTTTTGAGGTTCAGTCTTACCTTGTCACCCAAGCTGGAGTGCAGTGGTGCAATGTTGGCTCACAGCAACCTCTGCCTCCTGGGTTCAAACTGTTCTGCAGTCTCAGCCTCCCAAGTCGCTCGGAATTAGAGGTGCCACCTACCGTGCCCAGATATTTCTTTTTTGTAATTTTAGTAAAGACGGGGTTTCACCATGTTGGCCAGGCTGGTCTTGAAACCCTGACATTGTGCTCTGCCTGCCTCAGCCTTTCAAAGTGCTGGGATTACAGGCATGAGCCACTGCGCATGGCTGTAAGTCAGTTCTTATTCCTTATAATGCTGTGTATTTTCTTGACCTCATACATCACAAGGTAGTGATCTTAACATGCATTTCTGTTCTTATATGGTGTGCTGGTGGTAAGTAGAAGTTGAGGCTTTTGTCTTATTTTTGAGATAGAGTCTTGCTCTGTCGCCCAGGGTAGAGTGCAGTGGCACAACCTTGCTCACTGCAACCTCCATCTCCCGGGTTCAAGCAATTCTCCTGCCTCACCCTCCCAAGTAGTGGGGATTACAGGTGCCCACCACCACACCTGGGTAATTTTTGTATTTATAGTAGAGATGGGGTTTCACCATGTTGGCCAGGATGGTCAAGATCTCCTGACCTTGTAATGCAGCTACCTCAGCCTCCCAAAGTGCTGGGATTACAGGCGTGAGCCACCGTGTCCAGGTCCCGAGTTCTGCAGGCTGTATAAATGTATTATTTGCTTGCTGATTTTATCGTAAATTACAATCTTTTACTAATTAATTTTTGAGATTATACATATGGCCTTTCAATATGTAGTAAGCAATATAACTGACGCATTCCACTCATTAATGTCACGGTGTGCCACCAGGCACAGTGGTTCACACCTGTAAATTCCAGGACTTTGAAAGGCCAAGGCTGGTGGATAATTTGAGGCCAGGAATTTGAGACCAGCCTGGCCAACATAGTAAAACCCCATCTCTACTAAAAATACACAAGTTAGCTGTGCATGGTGACACGTGCCTGTAATCCCAGCTACTTAGGAGGCTGAGGCAAGAGAATCGCTTGAACCAAGGTGGCAGAGGTTGCAGTGAGCCGAGATCACACCTCTGCACTCCAGCCCGGGTGACAGAGCAAGACTCCATCTCAGAAAAATAAAAATACAGAGGCCAGACATGGTGGCTCATGCCTGTAATTCCAGCACTCAGGGAGGCTGAGGTGGGTGGATCACGAGGTCATAAGATTGAGACCATCCTGGCTAACACAGCGAAACACCGTCTCTACCAAAAATACAAAACATTAGCTGGGTGTTGTGTCACGTGCCTGTAATTCGAGATCCTCAGGAGGCTGAGGCAGGAGAATCTTTTGAATCTGGGATGCGGATGTTACAGTGAGCCAAGATCATGCCACTGCATTCAGTCTGGGTGACGGTGCGAGACACCATCTACGTAAAATAAAATTTAAAAAATTTTGACAAAAATGTTACAAAGCACCTCTTCTGCATGGATATAGGTAATTTTGTGACAGTTATTCAAGCTCACTGCAAGCTCTGCCTCTTGGCGTCAAGCAATTCTCTTGCCTCAACCACCCAAGTAGCTGAAAGTACAGGTGTGGGCCACCACACCTGACTGATTTTTGTGATGTTTTCTCATCTTCTCAGTGCTATGATTATTTGACAGTACAAAATTTACATTGATTTTGGTTATGCTTACATGATCTTGTGAATGATTTACCAATGTTGTTTATTGTGTGGTCCATTAGCATTTATCTGTATACAGTAAATATGCTTTAAATATGAAGAAATAATCCGGGCGCGGTGACTCAAGCCTGTAATCCCAGCACTTTGGGAGGCTGAGGCGGGTGGATCACGAGGTCGAGAGATCGAGACCATCCTGGTCAACATGGTGAAACCCCGTCTCTACTAAAGATACAAAAAAAAATTAGCTGGGCATGGTGGCACGTGCCTGTAATCCCAGCTACTCAGGAGGCTGAGGCAGGAGAATTGCCTGAGCCCAGGAGGCGGAGGTTGCGGTGAGCCGAGATCGCGCCATTGCACTCCAGCCTGGGTAAGAAGAGCGAAACTCCGTCTCAAAAAAAATAAATAAATAAATAAAAATAAATAAATATGAAGAAATATATTTTTCTCTTCATGCAACATTACAGTGATTTTTTGTAAGCTGTTAAACACATTATAGTCTTAGTGGAAATATACTCTTTAGGTTTACACATATTGGTGTCCTGTCAGTGTTTTGTCATGATATTGAAAATAGTCTTCCATAGAAATGGTTTCAAGTACATATAATCATCCTTTATTTATTAAAGAATCTTACTTCTGCTGTGTTCCTAAACTTTGAAGATCATGTCGTGGAAGTTTACAATAAGTATTGTTTTTTTGTGTGTCGTATTTACATATTTCAGTATTATTTACCATCTGTACTGAATTGGAAACCTGTTGTTGTTTATGTTTTGTAGATATCTCTTCCAAATGCATGATGAAGGAGTTCTCATCGACGGAGGAAGGCCATACAGAAGTGTTCCACACAGGGACATTGCAAAGACATGAAAGTCATCACACTGGAGATTTTTGCTTCCAGAAAACTGAGAAAAATATTCATGACTTTGAGTTTCAGTGGCAAAAGGATGAAAGAAACAGTCGTGAAGTACCCATGACAAAAATCAAAAAGTTGACTGGTAGTAAAGACCAATATGATGACAGGCATTCTGGAACCAAGCCTGTTGAAGATCAGGTTGGATTAAGCTTTCATTCACCTCTGTCTAACCTGCACGTATTTCATAATGAGGGGAACATTGATAATCAACTAGAGAAGTCGATAAATGACGTTTCCTTAGTTTCAACTTCCCCAAGAATTTTTTGTAGGCCCAAAACCCATATTTCTAATTACTGTAGGAATAATTTGCTTCATTCATTACTGACAGAAAGAGAGGAGGTACACGTGAGAGAAAAATCTTTGCAATGTAATGAGAGTGGCAAAGCCTTTAATTGTAGCTCGCTCTTAAGGAAACATCAGATAATCCATTTAGGAGAGAAACAATATGAATGTGATGTGTCTGGCAAGGTCTTTAATCAGAAGAGATACATCGAACGCCATCGTAGATGTCACACTGGTGAGAAACCTTACAAGTGTAATGAATGTGGCAAGAGCTTCTGTCACATGTCGTATCTTGTATGCCATCGTAGACTTCATACTGGAGAGAAACCTTACAAATGTAATGAGTGTGCCAAGACATTCCATCAAAGTTCAGGCCTTCTATTTCATAAGAAAATTCATACTGGAGAGAAACCTTACAAATGTAATGAATGTGGCAAGGTTTTTAATCAAAAATCACACCTTACACGTCATCATAGACGTCATACTGGAGAGAAACCTTACAGATGTGAAGAATGTGACAAAGTTTACACTCGCAAATCATACCTTGAAGTACACAGGAGAAGTCATACTGTAGAGAAACCATAGAAATGTAACTTTTGTGACAAGGCTTTTGGGTGTGCTTCACATCCGACAAGACATACTAGAATCCACACTGGAGAAAAACCTTACAAGTGTCATGAGTGTGGCCAAACCTTTAGTGGACAGTCAGCACTTATTCATCATCAAGCAATCCATGGTATAGGGAAACTTTTCTAATGTAATGATTGTCACCAAGTCTTCAGTAATGCTACAACCATTGCAAATCATTGGAAAATACATAATGAAGACAGATCTTACAAGTGTAATTGGTGTAGCAAATTTTTCAATCTTTCATACCTTGTCATTCATCAGTGAACTTATACTGGATAGAAACCGTATAAATGTAATGATTGTGTCAAGGTCTTCAGTCAAGCATCATCTTTTTTTTTTTTTTTTTTTTGAGACGGAGTTTCGCTCTTGTTACCCAGGCTGGAGTGCAATGGCGCGATCTCGGCTCACCGCAACCTCCGCCTCCTGGGCTCAGGCAATTCTCCTGCCTCAGCCTCCGGAGTAGCTGGGATTACAGGCACGCGCCACCATGCCCAGCTAATTTTTTGTATTTTTAGTAGAGACGGGGTTTCACCATGGTGACCAGGACGGTCTCCATCTCTTGACCTCGTGATCCACCGGCCTCGGCCTCCCAAAGTGCTGAGATTACAGGCTTGAGCCACCGGGCCCAGCCTAACATTTCTATAATGGGAATGCTGCATTGATTTTTTGTTTGTTTATTTCTTGTATTGTCCACAACCATAAGAAATGTAACCGAGAAAGTATGGTGACCTCTTCAAAAAGTATAATAAACACAACCTGGAAGACATAATGTGGTAAAAAATCCCTTTCTCGATTTGTCAGAACATTCCCTACAATTAAATCCCTGCTTTCACCTCTCTTCTCTTCTCATTCTCTGTAAAGATCAGAACTCCTCCCATTACTATGTGGTTAAAATGTGGTTTCAGGCGGGGCGCGGTGGCTCAAGCCTGTAATCCCAGCACTTTGGGAGGCCGAGGCAGGTGGATCACAAGGTCGAGAGATCGAGACCAACCTGGTCAACATGGTGAAACCCCGTCTCTACTAAAAATACAAAAAAAATTAGCTGGGCATGGTGGCGCGTGCCTATAATCCCAGCTACTCAGGAGGCTGAGGCAGGAGAATGCCTGAACCCAGGAGGTGGATGTTGCGGTGAGCCGAGATCGCGCCATTGCACTCCAGCCTGGGTAACAGGAGCGAAACTCCGTCTCAAAAAAAAAAAAAAAAAAGTGGTTTCATAGGGCTGGGCGCGGTGGCTCACACCTGTAATCCCAGCACTTTGGGTGGCTGAGGCGGGTGGATCATGAGGTCAAGAGATCGAGACCATCCTGGTCAACATGGTGAAAGCCCGTCTCTACTAAAAATACAAAAAATTAGCTGGGCATGGTGGTGCGTGAGGCGGAGGTGGCGGTGAGCCGAGATCGCACCATTGCACTCCAGCCTGGGCAACAAGAGTGAAACTCTGTCGCAAAAAAAAAAAAAAAAAAATATGTGGTTTCCTTTCAGGGTCTATTGACATTCAGGGATGTGGCTATAGAATTCTCTCAGGAGGAGTGGAAATGCCTGGACCCTGCTCAGAAGACTTTACACAGGGACGTGATGCTGGAGAACTACAGGAATCTGCTCTCCCTGGGTGAGTCCAACTTCCCCCGGAAGCGGGGATGTGCCCTTGCGTATCTTTGTATTTTCTCTTGTTGCCTCTTGGGAGCTGCATCCTTGCTTGACTAAAATGGAAGCCGTATTGATTTTGAAATGAACAGCTTCATGACGCAGCATCTGGAATTTAACTGTCCCCGCCCTTTTCTTTTCCTTTTATTTTTTTGAGACGGAGTCTCGTTCTGTTGCCCAGGCAGAAGTGCAGTGGCATGATCTCGGCCCACCACAACATCCGCCTCCAGGGTTCAAGTGATTTTTTTTCCCCAGCCTCCCAAGTAGCTGTGACTACATGTGCCTGCCACGATGCCTGGCTGTCGGGGACCGTCCGGGACGGGTAGGCACGTCTGCCTGGGGTCTCTCGACCTGCAAGAGGGTCCCAATACCTGGAAGAGGGAGTGTGCCTGGAAAAATAATAAAGACAGAGAGAGAGAAAGCGAGGCGTCTGGAGGGCTGATAGGCTGTGCCTAAACAGCAAATTTTCTTTTTCTTTTTTTTTTTTTTTTGAGACGGAGTTTCGCTCTTGTTACCTAGGCTGGAGTGCAATGGTGCAATCTCGGCTCGCCGCAACCTCCGCCTCCTGGGTTCAGGCAATTCTCCTGCCTCAGCCTCCTGAGTAGCTGGGATTACAGGCACGCGCCACCATGCCCAGCTAATTTTTTGTATTTTTAGTAGAGACGGGGTTTCACCATGTTGACCAGGATGCTCTCGATCTCTCGACCTCGTGATCCACCCGCCTCCGCCTCCCAAAGTGCTGGGATTACAGGCTTGAGCTACCGCACCCGGCCGCAAATTTTATTTTTCAAAGGCCAGGAATAAATACACTTTCTTGGCTCTGGTTTACCTCATAGCAAGAGGAAATGCAAATGTATGCCTCACATGGCCTATACAATAGAGAAGTCAGATATGCAATCAGTGGTTGTAAAAAGTAACAGAATTTTCTAGACCATCCTGGTCAACATGGTGAAACCCCGTCTCTACTAAAAATACAAAAAAAATTAGCTGGGCATGGTGGCGCGTGCCTGTAATCCCAGTGACTCAGGAGGCTGAGGCAGGAGAATTGCCTGAACCCAGGAGGCGGAGGTTTTGGTGAGCCGAGATTGCACCATTGCACTCCAGCCTGGGTAACGAGCGAAACTCCGTCTCAAAAAAAAAGAAAAGAAAAAAAAATTTAAAAGACAGGTATCTAGTTTCCTGTTTGCTATTTATATGTTTTTTCGATTCTGTAGTGCTTTGAAGGAAGCTCGATTTCCACATACTACAGTCCTCTTTATGTATTCAGAAGGAGGCAGTCAGTGGAGGAATTTGTGAAATATTTTCCTCGATCCATCTGTAATGTCTTCTTTCCTGCTGAAACATAGGGCTGGGACTCCAGAAAAGCTGCAGCACATCATATTTCTTTCTTTTTATAAGCAGGAGCCTCTTTCTGACCTGTTTATTCATGTTGGAGCCAGGGAAAGAGCCCTGGACTGTGGAGAGTCAAGTGAAAATATCCAGCTGAGTGGGAATGTATTAGAGGTGTTAACACAGTTGGAGCTCAGAGCAGCACAGTGGAACCCACACCTTTAAATAGTGTGTGGGGAAACTCTGCAAGTGGGAGAATTCTGTGAGGAAAGAAAAGTTTAAATCTGGGGATCTCTGAATGGACCTCTTTCTTTGCTCCCACTTGTTTCTCTGCTCTTTATTGATTTAACGAGTTTTTTTATAAAAGCACTAGTCCTGTTCCCTAGTAGTCAACACCCAAATTCTCTCAAAGGTCCCATCCGTAGGAACATCCTGTTAGAGAATAAGAACTCTCAACATGGCTTTCGGCCAATATGAACATTCAGACCAGGGAGCCTGCATTAAGATTTTTATGTTTTTATTGCGCGTTCAGTTTTATGCAGTGTTTTCTCTGATCTCAGTTTATGAATTTTCCCGGTACACATTCTATGTTTTATATTTTGTGCATAGTAAACTAGATAAATAATGCAATACATAGACATAGAATTGCTGTATTGCCTGGCTGTGACACACTGGAGATGTGACATCATAATTGCAAGCTCTGATGTTGTTAGGCAGTTTTGTTTTCTTTTTTTTTTTGAGGTTCAGTCTTACCTTGTCACCCAAGCTGGAGTGCAGTGGTGCAATGTTGGCTCACAGCAACCTCTGCCTCCTGGGTTCAAACTGTTCTGCAGTCTCAGCCTCCCAAGTCGCTCGGAATTAGAGGTGCCACCTACCGTGCCCAGATATTTCTTTTTTGACATTGTGATCTGCCTGCCTCAGCCTTTCAAAGTGCTGGGATTACAGGCATGAGCCACTGCGCATGGCTGTAAGTCAGTTCTTATTCCTTACAATGCTGTGTATTTTCTTGACCTCATACATCACAAGGTAGTGATCTTAACATGCATTTCTGTTCTTATATGGTGTGCTGGTGGTAAGTAGAAGTTGAGGCTTTTGTCTTATTTTTGAGATAGAGTCTTGCTCTGTCGCCCAGGGTAGAGTGCAGTGGCACAACCTTGCTCACTGCAACCTCCATCTCCCGGGTTCAAGCAATTCTCCTGCCTCACCCTCCCAAGTAGTGGGGATTACAGGTGCCCACCACCACACCTGGGTAATTTTTGTATTTATAGTAGAGATGGGGTTTCACCATGTTGGCCAGGATGGTCAAGATCTCCTGACCTTGTAATGCAGCTACCTCAGCCTCCCAAAGTGCTGGGATTACAGGCGTGAGCCACCGTGTCCAGGTCCCGAGTTCTGCAGGCTGTATAAATGTATTATTTGCTTGCTGATTTTATCGTAAATTACAATCTTTTACTAATTAATTTTTGAGATTATACATATGGCTTTTCAATATGTAGTAAGCAATATAACTGATGCATTCCACTCAGTAATGTCACAGTGTGCCACCAGGCACAGTGGTTCACACCTGTAAATTCCAGGACTTTGAAAGGCCAAGGCTGGTGGATAATTTGAGGCCAGGAATTTGAGACCAGCCTGGCCAACATAGTAAAACCCCATCTCTACTAAAAATACACAAGTTAGCTGTGCATGGTGACACGTGCCTGTAATCCCAGCTACTTAGGAGGCTGAGGCAAGAGAATCGCTTGAACCAAGGTGGCAGAAGTTGCAGTGAGCCGAGATCACACCTCTGCACTCCAGCCCAGGTGACAGAGCAAGACTCCATCTCAGAAAAATAAAAATACAGAGGCCAGACATGGTGGCTCATGCCTGTAATTCCAGCACTCAGGGAGGCTGAGGTGGGTAGATCACGAGGTCATGAGATTGAGACCATCCTGGCTAACACAGCAAAACACCGTCTCTACCAAAAATACAAAACATTAGCTGGGTGTTGTGTCACGTG